ATGTCTCAAGTCAAATTCAAATGGAAATTATTGGACTTCAGGAAAATTATCATATTAAAGACAAATACAAAGAAGGAAATTTGATTGAATTTTATATATTTCTGAACTATGAGCAATTTCCAAATTTAAAGAAATTTGCTTGTAAATTTATCTCCATGTTTGGGACGACATATCTGTGTGAACGAACTTTTTCCCAGATGAAGTACATCAAGTCGAAATACAGGGCAAATTTATCCAATGAACATTTACAGTCACTACTTGTGATTAGCGTTTCAAAATTTGAACCTCAATCTAATCAGATTTTAAGAATGCAAAAAGAGATCCATCATTCACATTGTTTTATTATAATTTGTGATGAAAATATGAGCATTTGCTGCTACTGTCTGTTGTCATTAATATACGATAATTTATTCTCACGTACTTTGTATTTAGTTTATGGAATTCTGTGCTTTCAATAAAACTCACATACCTAGAGTTATTAATTTCTCATTTTATCCGGCCCGTTAAAAGTGCTGAATTACCTAATGTGGCCCGCGGTTCGAAAAGTTTGGAGACCTCTGCCTTAGACCACGCGGTCACTGTGATCGGCTAGTTCCCTTATTTAGTCCTCGTTAATAAGGGCAACGGTAATAGAGTCTCTGCAGTAATTGGCAAAGGGTTAGGCGACGGATGTTCAATTTCTACACTAGCAAATATGTGCTTTTTCTTCGCGACCCTGCCTGCACTCTGCCGATAAGTTTCCAGTGCATTGTGCTTCATTAAGCAACTTTAGCATTTGCAGTTAGCTGCGGCAGTACCGTAAGGAAGATACGGAACTGGTCCTCTTTTTCAGGACTTAATTAATTCGGTCGGTGTGTCCACTTATTCTTACGTCCATACATAAAACATCCCAAGAGAAATTTCAAAGCACTCGACAACTGTAAAGCATTTCTCTAGAGCTGCAAGATTCAAAGTTACTCGGGGAGCAACAAACTATGCCGACTGAATATCGTTGTAGCATCGGCTACGAAAGTTGCAGAATTTTGAGTTCTTCAGTTGGAATCCCTCTGTCAAACAGCTGTGGTTACTGGTATTCTGTAACCTTCCTCTGCCCATCTAAGCGATTACCAGTCTGACCACTTCATTAGGTACGAATACAACCATGAGGCAGGACAGATATTCCACGCAAAATATCGGTTATTTCTCTTCGATTTTAACCGAACTTGAATGTGATGACGAATGTTAATGAAATCCCCCATATAAACTTTCACGCAAAACTGTTCTGCTGATCTCGAAATGCTACATGCGGGCAAACTGACAGACAAACATGGGAAATATAATAAGTACGTTTTGAAAATTTTCTTTGAAAATGGGCCAACTCTTCTAATGGAACGTTCCTTCCTTCTTATTGCTACTCTCAATGGTAAATAATAAACAATTTGAGTAATTTCAAATGTATTTAGTTATAAATACAAACCACTCCGTCCAATGTGACATATAAGTTTTTACTACATTAGAACTTATCTCCCTTACATCTCCCATCTATTGTGATGGTAGTTTCCAGTTTCTAATGATGTTCCCTCTGAAGATGGCCCGTAAGGACCGAAACATGTAAGGGAGATAAGTTTTAACGTAGTAAAAACTTATATGTCACATTGGACTGAGTGGTTTGTATTTATAATTGTTAGTGTGACGGACCAAAATGAAACAAATCAAACGTATTTGGTTACTTGATATACTGTAAAGTATTCTACCTTCCCTTTAACATGTCAAGTAATATGAGTCGTATTTAGAAATTACTAGCTCTGACAGGCCACGTCAAATGGGACCCTGCTCAACACGACATGGTGAGTCCTCAGCGGAAGTAGAATGCAGGATACCTTTGAATATTCGCGGACGGCCGACAAGAAGTAACGCTCAAGAGTTAGATTTGATGTGGTGCAAACAAACTCTCAGACTAAAAGAAAATAGCATGCAAGGTATTTCATAAATTGCTCTAGACTTGAATGAATTATCTGAAACAACCTAAGTAATTAAAAATACAAACTGCTGAAGGCAATACTTGCACCAAAGAGACAGGAGACAACAGCAGTATGAAGAAAATTATACAACGAGGAGCTTCATAATTGTTCAATTATTATTCGTACTGTGTTTAAATAAATGAGGATGAGATTGGTAGAATATGCCTACACCACTGGAAGGAGGGAGTGAGAAACGCATGCATTTTACACGGAAAACTCGAGAGCAGGTGCGACCTCTTGCAAGACGTGAACATTTACTCGTATGAGAGGATAACCTTATAAGAGATTGGGGATGTCCAATGGACTGAAATGGTTCAAGATAACAATAGACGGTGAGCTTTTCTGTAAACATTCGAACCTACGAGTTCCATAATGTGCATCTATTAGCTTCTCAAGGATTCTGGTTCGTGAAAAGGGCCCAAGTCAATATAATTTAATCCAATTTACATAGTGCAAACACCACAGTGTTCTAAAAATGTGTTTACATTTCGACCTTCTGTAATTAATTGACCTTTCTGATTGTGGTGTCAAACACACTTGGGCATTCAGTGCGACCATTGGCGTCGCTGCATTTTTCTTTTCTGCAAGGAGAAGGAGTCAGAAATTTTACTTCAAAGCTTGTCCACGTTTTTAATCTGTTTAAGAATATGCTTATGGATCGCCCTTCAGTATTCAGGTGAGAAGAATATTTTTTTAGATTATTTTAATATTTTGTATTAGTATTTGGCATATTTTCGTATTTTTTTCAATTTCATTTTTCAGAAATCCAGAACGAGTGCAGATGCCTGAGTTACATTCCCCCTGCAGACGCCCATGTGCATGACACGAAGCAGCCAGGGCTTCCTTTAATTCGACTACTGAGAACGAGTTACAACCACTGCCTTACCCATATTTTATGCTTTTTTATTGTTCTTAGTGGGGTGAGACAGTTCACTTGGTACTGCGGCCACTACTGGCCTATTGTAACCGCCCCGAATGATAGATGACGGCGATTGTCGAGCAATTAGTGGAATGAAGATTGACAGGGGAAACAGAAGTACTCGAAGAAAACCTGTCCCAGCTCACCTTTGCCCAACACAAATCTCACATGACCAGAGCCGGGCTCGAACCCTGGCCGCCGCGATGGGAAACCAGCGACTAACCGCCTGAGTTCTGGCGCGGCCTTAACCATGCTTTATGTGTCATCGAAACAACTATCTCTAGATCTCTAGATCTCTAGATCATAGGCTGCTGCGCTGTCTATGACAGTGTACTTTATACAGTTTTCAGAGAGATGTGTGGGATGAGCGCTAGGAGCGCTAAGGGTTCGGAGACGTCGGAAGTGTTCTGTAATCGTATTACATGTAACTATCCCTCGATAACAAAATCCTTATATACAAAACAGTAATTATACCAATTTGGACTTACGGCATTGAACTCTGGGGATGTGCCAGTAAGTCCAACATCAATATTATCCAAAGATCACAATCGAAAATCCTAAGGATGTTAGTCGATGCACCTTGGTATGTGTCAAACGAAACCCTACATTAAGACTTGAACATAAAATTCGTGAAAGAAATCATCCTGGACAGAAGCCGCCAACACATGAGCAAAATTGAAACCCACGAGAACGAACTATTGCAACCACTCAGATAGCCAATCAACAATAGAAGACTAAAAAGGAAATGGCCAAATGACCTGATATAAAACAAATTAAATTCTGAAGAGGTAATGTCGATGGACATTTTCCTCGCATGACATGTAATAGTCCTTAGCGAAACCATTAACCTATAGAATGTACGTAATTCTGATTGTTAATAAATAATAAACAAAAAAAAATAAAATAAAATAAATGTATATTACATGTACGTGGGCAACATGTTGAGAGAAATGGACTTGCCCCACTGCCCACGTTCCTGAGAAAAATGTTATGTAGTTATATAATCCATCTGAGAAGTCGAATTGGGCAAAGGGAAACTTTTCCTCGTACTTTTATCCCTGACACTGAACTTGTGGAAGTTATAAAACCATTTCATAAATCTAATACCCGGATTCCTGGCCGACATGTGAATTCCGTATCTTATGACGCATTGCTAGCTCGGTAAAACAAAAGTTGTTGCAAAGGCAACCAAGATAGTTTGTGTGTTTATGTGCGTGTGTGTGTGTTTTTCTTGGAGTGGGTTAAGATTGAGTCCACTTGGTACGTCTGTCACTGTTTGGCCTATTCTACCAGCCCCGGATGATGTATGATGGTGAACGATGTTGAATGTGGAACAGTTGTTGGAATAAGAATTGGCAGGAGAAACCGAAGTACTCGGAGGAAACCTGCCCCAGTGCCACTTTGTCCATCACAAATCCCACATGACCTGACCTTGGATCGAACCCGGGACGCCGTGGTGTGAACAGCATGTGTATTACTTTCCCTTCCAATACCTTTAGAGTGTGGCCTATTATAGTAATACTTAACTCATTATCAGTAGAAGTTCACTCGGTATTTTACGAGAACGTTGCAAATCTAAATTATAATTCATTTATGTTAATGAAATTTGCATAAGCCGAACGATTTCTTTCTTCGCGAAAGTGAAGTCTTTTTTTTTCATTTCGTAATGATCCTTAGCGTATACAGCTGTCAACATGTACTGACGTTGGTCCTGCATGCATTAACATCGCACGCTACAAGCGAGTGCATAAAGCAGAACGTTCTGCATACAGTGTTTACAATGATGTAATAGCATGATTAAATCCTTACACAGAATTTGCAAGTTCGTGTAGCTAAACTAATTATCCTGCAGCACTAGACAATGCATACGTTATATCATCCGATCACACACGCTTTTGCTACTAAACCTGATGATGCGGATGATTTGGGCATATGAAAGCAATGGGTATTTATTATCGTGATATACCTACTTGTCGAAAACGTGTACTACTATAGAAGGTTTTGGCTGACAATTGACCTTCAGCCTTACTACGGGCGTAACACTATTGATAGAGTGCAAAAGGTGATATTTTTATACTCACTAACTGATGTGAAGACTCCCCAAAATCTGGTGAAGGGAACCAGGTACTCCCAAAAGCATGCACATTTCGTATATTGGTAGGTCGACATGTCCTCTGTCACACTCACTTAATAATAACGAAATTGCATCATTGACGCAACGCACCTTGTGCTTTACCTTCAACCAGTCTACCGCACATGTCCTCCGTTCACTGCGGCAAAACGTGAACTAAACCAACACCGCCCATTTTCACTGCCGCGAATGCTCAAAATTTCGCACAAAAAATAGTAGAATGCCGTTATGTTCAATACGTTAGACTGCCAAGAGATGGCAGGTATGCCACTGACCTAGAGGACATCTATAAGCGTTAGTGGTAACTACTGAAGGTACCCAAACTCAAGTAAAACATTTGGATGACAGGTATTTAATAACTATTTAATTTTTAATATTTAATATTTAATAACCGCTACCATATACATTCCTTTCTTCGTAATGAAAATTGTTTTTTTTTTGGGGGGGGGGTCAGAATCTATTTTTATTTCATATAATTAAATATGTTTTATCCCTGGCTTAAATCATATGCCAGAATACTGATTTAAATCCTTCAGTGTCTAAAAGAATTGGGGTTGATATAGTTTGTGGACTATCATGACGATCATGACATAATATTTAAATCTGGACTGAATGTTATATCGGATTTATTGAATGAAATGAACTCCCATTATTTCTCAACAAAATTCATCTATATTATCCTAAGGATTTACTATTCCAACATGCAACTATACATTTTGTGCAACAGGTAGATGGAAAGACTAATGATACGATTCCTTTACCTTGCAAATACAAATGTACTGCTGAAAATTATTCACAGCCTAGAGTAAGACATTACTTTTCCCTGTACATTAGATATCTATCCTATCAAAAATTGTTCCATCTAAAAGTTAGGCTCCATATTTTGTTATGAATAACTTTTCTTTAGGATAAATAGCTCAGTCGGTATACATATAGGCTAAGGGCTGGACGGGCAGATTTTGAGTCCCAGCAGGGGCAATACTTTCCTCTTCTCCATAGCATCCAGGCCAGCTCTCCAGCCCACCCAGCCTCTTCTCCAATGGGTACAGGGGTATGTTCCCCTGGGGTAAAGCAGCAGTGGTGTGAAAATGACCACCCACCTCCATCTAGTGTCACGGTCAAGAATTGTGGAGCTATACCTTCACTCACACATACATCTTCATGGCAACGTGCTTAATTAATTAAGCACAGAGACAACTTTCCCTAAATGATTCTGAGGAAATACATAGTTAAATTTGAGCATCATGTAAGAAATTTAGAAAATTCCTTTAATAACTTGTTTCATTTATCCCTATTCAGTACTTCTGGATATTAAAATAGACACAGCCAGAACATTATGAATACATTTTAATCATTTTGTGTGAAGAATGTAAACAAAATTGGAAAGTGTTCCCCATTCTGGAGTATACAGTATTTTGGAAGAGTAATTTCTTTCAATTTCAATTTTACATTCAATTTATGTTATCTCTTAAATAGCATACATTAATTAGTGACAAAGCTCACTGAATTCAAGAGGGGAACTATTCTTTAATATCTGCAACTTAGATTCCCTTCCTTCCATCCTTTTATCCCTTCCATACCATTAGATCCTGCTTATTTCCAATAAGACAGTGCATAAAGTTACATCTTTGTCCTTTGAATGGTACAGTTCAGAGAATTAAGCGGTCGCTTACGTATGTGAAGACTGCTACATACTGAGATAACACACACACAGTCATAAACAGTCTCCTGTTACATACAGAAGCTGTAAATGTAAATCATCACCTAGAAGACAATTCCCATCATCAATACAGTCATTCGTTTTAATGTCTAGTAAACAACTGGTCAGAGAATGCTGATTTTGATGTTAACACTGACATCACTACATAGGCTGCAAAAGGATTAAGGAAAACAAGGAAAGGTTTCATATAGAGTCTGTTCAGCTTTTCAACTTATATCACCAATCAACAGAGAAGAGTTCTGAAACTATGTCACCATGTTCCTTGCTCAGGTAGCACAGAACAACAAATACTAGGAAATAAACAAGCATGTTCAATAATTTATTTATCTTGTATACAACACATTTTACAAATTAAGTATTAAAATGTATACTTTTCTTTTCACTTCATCACTGTTCATCATAGAAAAAGTCTTCACAAAAATACATCTCATCAATCTGATGAAATTAGCATCTGCTAGGAGTTTTGTAGCACCCTATGAACAGCATACCTTCCAGAAGGTACATGTCAATTCACATGGCTGTGATCTCTCAAATTCCACTTGCATCTTCTATCTTTTGCACTTGACATTATGCCTTAAAGAACACAGAAATTCAGAATTACAAACATCATCTGACATGCTCTACATATGAAAAGAAGAGACATATGTATCATGAAAAGAGGAGGGTACATTATGCATAAAAACGTAATATTCGATGAAGCAGAAGGAATGACTTTCACTTTTATAGTCAACTTAACAGGTACTCATCAATGAATTTCATCCATGACACAAAGTGAATTAAACTGAACATGTAGTTGGTTGAGGCACTATGCTACATGCAGGATCGAATCAGGATGAGGTGGATATTTTCAATTTACCTAATCTATTCAGCCACACTTAGGCCCTGGGGTCAACTCAGCCTCTAACAGAAATGAGTACCAGAAATATTCTTGGGGGTAAAGGGCAGCTGGCACGTAAGGCTGACAACCTTACCGCCATCTACGAGCTGATTGTCTAGAAAATGTGGGAGCCTCAACGTATCACAACCCTATGGGCCTCCGCGGCCTGTTACAAGGATACCTTTACTTTTTACTTTTACACTAGAAATAAGTCATTCGATTCTGTCACTTTCCAACTACCAGCAAACAAAAGTGTACCTTTGGCTGAGCACTACCAGCTATACAAGCCAACAACTACTCCATAAGAGCAAGTTAACTAGAATAAAAGAGGTTCTGAATAAGTTGCCACCATATATGCACACATCAAGGTTGACATAAAGAAGTTCTTTATATATAATTTACAGAATTTTGTCTCATATGACCAAAGATCAAGCAACTTTGCCACTTTGCTGCTGCTTGTTTTAAAATGCAAGTCTTTTGTGCAACATATCTCAGTGACTGCTGAGGTGAATACTGCAGCCTATATTCTATTGCAATAACTTTCTCTTTACTAAGCATACGAGGGGGTACCCAAAAGAAACCGAACTTATTTTTTTTTAAACTTATTTATTCAAATTTTAAGCACAAACTTTCAATACCCTTCAAAGTACTCTCCACTTACACTAATACACTTGTCTAGTCTTTTATTCCATTATTCAAAACATTGTCTAAATTCATCTTTTGAGATGCTTGACAGCGCCTCCGTCGTTTTTTTCCTTCACCTCAGCAACATCAGCAAAACGCTGAAAAAAAGTTTTGATCATTTCGGGACCCTTCTTTCAAAGCACAGCATGCGTCCACGCGACCTTGTTTTTGTTCAGCAGTCAGCAGTCATGCATCCTCAAGGTTAGGTTGGCATTAAGAGAGAAAAGGTTTCAAAGGGCACATCAGAACACCCACACCCCACAATTAAATTGGCAGAATTAAACCCAATAAAGGTAGGTTTCCATTCCGGAACATACTCTCAAAGGTTCATTGTGTGTTTATACTTTAATAATATCAAATTAATCTCTACAAACAGATCATGATAAATTTCCAAAACTTAAAATTTCCTGTGTGGTACTCAGAAGAAAATGTGTCAAACTTTATGTATTTTTTTATTGCTAGTAGGGTGGGACTAAGTCCCTTGTACTGTGGCCATTTCTGGCCTATTCTACCAGCCCCAGATGATAGGTGAGGGTGATTGTGGAGCAATTGGAGGAATGAAGATTGGCAGGGGAAACCAAAGTACTTGAAGGTGCCACTTTGTCCACCACAAATCCCACCTGACCAGACCCGGGCCGCCACGATGGGAAGCCAGCGACTAACCGCTTGAGCTATGGGGCAGCCCCACATTTTATGTAAGTAACTGCAACATTTATCAAAACTGAAAAATTCAGTCATAGTGTTCTTAGTTTTAATTTTGGTTAAGATAATCTGAACAAAAATTCTACTGCAATATGGACTTTCAGAATTTTACACTGCATGGCACTAGGCCATCCCCCCCCCCCACACACACACTCTTTGAAGATATTTGCAAGACCAAATGATGCAGATTTCAGCACAGAAATGGCAATGGCTGTTTTAAACTGAGTTACTGAAAACTGTGTAATGCACAGTGAACCCCCTACTTGACATTTATTTCAAGAGAAGTGAATTTGAACACTAAACCTAAGAAAACCTTAAATGGGGATAATTTAATGACATACCGACTTTGGACCATAATAACTGAACACTAAATGAGAGAAAACCTTAAATCAGGGAACAGTAAATGGGCGTTCCACTACAATGATAACTAAACAAACTGTTTTAACAGAACTGTTCACATTCCAGGTAAATTTTATTACCCTCTTCTAGATTTACAGCGGTTGAAAAAAATAATGGAAACACTAGAGATACAACGTACTGTACACATTTATTTATTAATTTTGTGCTGGACCACCATTTGCCTTCAACACAACCATAAAGCTTCTTCGGACAGACTTGTACAAGTGTTGAACAGTCTCTAGTGGAATATTATACCATTCTTCTCGAAGAACAACTTCATGTTGCTTTAGAGATGTTGGAAGTGGGAATCTGTTCTTCACACTAGTCTCCAAAACTAACCAGAGTCATTCAATGATGTTCAGATCTGGTGATTGTGCTGGCCAGGAAAGATGTTGAAGTTCACCTTCATGCTCTTCAAACCACAGCTGAACAGTTCCAGCTGCGTGAATGGGGGTATTGTTGTCTTGGAAAACTGTATCATTCAGAAATAACATCTGAATCATGGGATTGATGCACCTGATTACCCAACCTCTCCACATACTTTCTTGCAGTATTTTGGCCACGAAGGATAATAGTAGGACCAACAAAGCCCAAACCATCACAGAACCTCCACTGTGTTTCACTACTGGAAACATTCATTTCAGATTGTAGGCTTTCTTGGGTATTCTCAAAACATAAACTCTTCATGATGTATGGAACAGTGTGAAGGATGACTCATTTCACCATATCACTTGTGTATTTCCAGTTGTCTGATGTCCATGTTTTATGGTCGTGACACCATTGTTTATGAATCTGAGCAATTCTTTCAATAATCTGAGGTTTAGCAATTGCAGCCGTTCCATGGATGCTGGAAGCTCACGTCAAATAGTTTTTGTCGATAGAGGATCTTCAAGATGAATATCCAGTTCTGCTGTCCTGTCATCTGTGGTGCAGTATTGCTGTGATTTTCTGAAACATGCCTTCTCAATGTACGATGATCTCTTTCTGTGAATGACAATTTTCACCCACTGTTCCTCGTTGCTGATGTTGTCTTCCCATAATTCGTGTATGCTGACATGGCCTTAGAAATTGTCACTGCCCATACACCTAATAATGTGGAAGTTTTTGTCACCAAAGATTGATGCCCTTTCAAAATCGGACAAGTCTCCAATTTCCTGATTCTTTCACATGGACTGTCACTCAACAAAACCACTAATGCACTGATACGAACACTATAGTGTGTAAAAAAACAGAAGAAGAGCATTCAGTGTTTCCAATTGAAGTTATTCCGATGTATCCAACACAAATTCTATTGCTCAGTTTCTTCGTTTTTCATTATTTTATCCATGCTCCTGTATGTATAAGATAACAGAAACCCTCTCACTGGGGGATGAAGAGTGGAGAATAAGCAGACATCTACAATCAGTACCAAGGTCTGAAAACATACAAGCTTCATCTCCCTACATACTGCTGTCTTTGTTGCATGGTGCACAGGAACAAGAGTGCCTTTACTGACTGTAGAGGGAAACAAGCTGAAAAAATTTCAAGTCCACAATGAAATAAGTCTGCATATGATTTCAGCTCCTCACCATTCTTCTTCTCAAAACTCAAGTCCTCGTGTATCTCCAGCATCTGTTTCGCAATGTCAGTTTTTGGAAGTCCAATTCCCTGGATACTGATTGGACCTGATGAACCAGCTGGCAAAAGTGATATCTGAAATATTAACCAATCAATAAAATGGCAAGGATCCACAATTTAAGTTTACCTATACATAAATGTTATTTTGCTTAAGTTCACGAGCAGGACAATTACAAAGTAAAGCATATTCCAGAGTATTCTCCATTTATGACTGTAGTTTGCAATGTAAAATTTAATCCAAACTCACATGTACCCGTATCTTATAAAATCCAGTGATTTCCAAAACTAGGAAGCTCAATAACAAATAACAGTGGAATGATACACATTTATGGCAGTCATATGAATTATTTGCACTAAAATAAAACTGTGTCAAAGTTCTTGTAACAAGCTTATACTACAAAAATATGTGCACATTATGAAATGTTTATATTGTTAATACCCATAATTTTGTCTAAAACATTCTTTATTCTGTGCATATTCAATGCAATAAAGAAAAACATAATACAGACTTTTTGCCACAGCCTGTTACACCAAACCTATTAATATCACTAAGACTTTCATAAAGCCTCCAACATAAAATTTCAACTAAATCTGACAGGAGTTTTAGAAATTCAAGAAGTAACAAGCAAAAAGGAAGAGTGGGGGGAAGGAGCTGGTAGGGAAGGAGAAAGACAAATATGTCCATAAGGCATTATTAATTTCTCCTACATTCAAAATGAAAANAAAAAAAAAAAAAAAAAAAAAAAGGCTCTTAGCTTTGCCATGCCTGTCTGCCTGTCTGTCCACATGTAACAATACAAGAACTGCACAACTGTTTTTCAAGAAATTTTATATTGAAGAGTGTTACTTAAATTCTTCACCACTTTCCAATTTTGGTGAAAATTGGGTAACAATAACAGACGCTTCTCATGAAGATGCACAAGCATTTTAGTGCCCACCCCAAGTTTCAGCCACAACATTTTTATTTAACTCAAATATATATCCAACACTGTAAACGATAAATTAAACATGTCTTTTATGTCCAATACATAATTTCTGCATGCCTTAGAGTGAGGTAACTGTACAGAGATGAGCAAATGCTATGGCAGAATAATTAACCAAAAGTCAGAAAATATGGATTTGTAAAGTCAGCTTGTCAGTGGGTCTATGGGCATTTTCTACATAAAAATGGAAGCTGTGTTATATACAGCAAATGAACAATAAATTGATTATTATGTCTTNTACTGAAAACCGTCGTAACACAACAATCAATAATACGTGTAAGTAACTCTAGGAGATACTTTTGCTACATGTTTCGGCCTTTAACGGCCATCATCAGGCAAATACATTAAACTTTTCGTTATTGAACTGCATGTCAAATATAGGATACAGTACTAAACTTCTAAGCATATACAATGGTATAAAATGATATGAGTGAATATAAAATATAAATTTAAAATAAAAAAAATACTTTCCTAATTGTTCTCAGCCTATTCTTCCTAGCCCCAAGATATTTATTCCCTGGTAAACACAAAACAAACTTCTGTGTTACAGATATACATTACCTTCGTTCTAGATGAAATTTTGGATTTTGGGCTGGCTTTAGGGCTCCTGGTCTTGGATATATGTGTTGAATCAAGGCCCTGTAACTGCCAGAAAATAGATGTGAACCTTGAGGACTGTTCCACTGACTCAGGATCAGGTCTGATGGCATGTTTATGAGTTATTAATAATGAAATTTCAGACTCTATGAAAAAAATATATATATATATTTGCTGAGCAACTGCCAAATGCTGAAGGAAGGGTCTGTACCATGGAATTTCAGTATATAAGAGATATGGTATCCTACACTCCCTCTACCAAAAAGTAAAAGCACATTACTTGGTATTTATTTGCAGTCTTATTCCTGCAACTTTCATAAATGTTTCAATGGCTTCGTGGTTATTACCGCATTTGTCATATATCACAACTGTTTCATTAATTACACATCATGTTGTGGCCTTATATGACCATCCTTAGGTATGTCTTCATGTTGCAAGAAGTTTCACTGTATCAACTCCCTATCAAAGATAGCACCAATTAAAATTAAAGGAAACTTGGAAATTAAAAATGAATTAAAATATTAAAACTGAAAAGGATAAAAATTCTTTTTTTAAGGATGTGCATTATGATGCATTTGTCGTCTATAATGCTTGAAGTCTTCATTCACCAACTAGAGACATCACATCTGATAAGCCTAGGCCAGTAAAAACATAACTGCACAAAAAATCTGCATATAACAAAGTACATCAGTCACAACCTACAAAGGACAGTTTCATCTGCTGTCATAAACATTAACATGCAAGACACACCAGCAATGACAAGAAGTTCTGGGAGGAAGAGCCTACTTTCCTTTGATATGACAGGCACCACAATGAAAATGACACATCCAACAATTCTTTTGTTATATGTATTTGTGGCCACAGGAACGTGTTTATCAGGCCACTGCCTAGCAATGACAGGGAGGGGATATTCACACAGATACAGAACAAGGTGATCTCATGAGCCTACTTTTATTTTCCTTTTTCAAAATAGGTAAAGCAGGTTAAAAACATTTTTAATTGCCTATTCATACACAATAATATAAAGGTCATCGCCTAGCAATGGCAGTAATGTGTTTACTGCTGTTGCCTAGCAGTGGCCGTCTCCTTTGTCTTTTGGGTGTGATACTAAGTGTTCTTGGGGCACGTGGTACCGTACTTGGTTGAGGCACTATGCTACAAGCCGGAAGGTCACAGGTTCTAGTCCTGATGAGGTCACTGGATTTTTTCAATTGACCTATTCGTTCCAGCTGCACTATGGCCCTGGAGTCAACTAAGCCTCTAAAAGAAATGAGTACCAGGAATATTCTTGGGGGTAAAGGGTGGCCGGCACATAAGGCAGACAACCTTGCTGCCATCTATGAGCTGATTGTCTAGAAAATGTGGGAACCTCAACATCTCACAACCCTATGGACCTCCATAGTCTGTTACAGGGATACCTTGACTTTTTTACTTACTAAGTGTTCTCTCCTCAGTCTGCCCTGATGTATTAGGCACATGTTCAAAATGGACAATATTGTTTCTAACTGAAAGGCAGGAGTTCCACTGCTCTGCTCAGTCACAAGCCAGCACTGAAAGGCTGAAATCTCCTCTTGTCGAAGAGGAGACCCCATTATTTCTAAAACATGTAAATGTTTAGGGCAGAACAAAAATCGTTTGGTTGTTATGCTTTGTGTTCTTTCCCCAGTCCAGTTTGATATATTATGTAGATGTTCAATACAAACAATATCCTGTCTCTGTGTGAGAGAAAGGAGAGGACAAGGTCTGCTCCGCTCAGAGTGCTAACACTGAAAGGCCAACCCTCCTGTTGTCAAAGAGGAGACACCATGCCTAGCAGCAGTATGAGGGGGACCTGGACAGGAAGATGACCGTGTAAGCCTACTTATGAAAGTAGGCTAAAAAATACATCAGACACCCAGAGACATCATATTGTTCATCCTCAAAATAAAAAAACTTAAATTCTCATCCACTTCAATTTTAAGCATATTTTAATTATTTTTCAACTTTCAACCTTCAATTAATTGTAATTGTAGAGTTCCTTGATAGGGAGTCAATATAATGAAACAACTTACAATATCAGATATACCTGAGGAAGGCCAGGCCAGATTGAAACATGTAGTACTGTGACATTATGCCTAAAAAGCACAATAGTGGAGGCAGAGATAGGTGTCCATTCCTAGACAACGGTTAGGTAATCACATTTCCACAGCAACAGATACAACTGAAGAAGCAATGCTTCCATTCACATGGCAACAAACCTCCAAAGCATAGTAACAGCGAAGAACGCAATAACTCTACTGTTGAAGGAGGTGATCTCCATACAGTTCAACCAGAACCTACCTTAGGGAGAGAACCAAATAATAGAAGGCAGAATATAGGAAGAGGAGGAGGAGGAGGAGGAGGAGGAGAAGTCGGAAGTCAGAAGTGAAGTCNAGTGTTATAATTGTTCATATAGTTATGAAGTGTTATAGTTACAGTAAGACTGTGTTACAACTAACTGTAGTCTCGCCTGGTGACTATCCAGTAAATCGATTCTTCTAATCCAGAACCCATTAATTACTTGTCATGTTACCAGGATTAGTGACAGTATGAATAACAAAACAAGTGAATGAAATAAGACAGTCCAGCAATAAGTATGCAGTCAGTGAAACATTTAATTAACCATTTCATGACGATCGCCACTTATATGCAGTGTGGCTGGTTTTTTAAATGTCGCTGATTGCTGCATATATGCAGCAACACAGACTCTCTAATTCTGACTTCAATTGAAGACTGTGTGTGTTTTCCAGCAAAAATTGAATTACTTAGCATTGTACATGAAATGTAGATGTAACTTTTGACATAAATACATGTACGGTCTTTGAAGCCTATGTTTGCTAAAATGTCCATACAACCTGTACAGAGGAAATATATTCAGGCTGTGTTTAGAGTCGTGATTATTGTTCCTACACACATACCTACTTCGATTAGCTTGGTGAAAACTGATACGGCACTCAGATAATCACATAGCTTTGACTGCAGAATGAATGGGGCTTTGTTCTGGGCTAGTAAACAAATAAGAGCGTGTGCATATGCCAGTCCATAACAGTTCACCAATACGGAGCAGAAAGTGCGAAGTGGCCGGGTGGAACAAAATGTCATACCAAGGTTACATGAAAGACATTTCATTGAAAGGGTTGCTNTCAAAGGGTTGCTCTTTCTGGAAAGAAATCAATGCCACGGAGGTGTGTGGTATGCAGCAAACATGGACGGAGGAGTGACTCGAGATTTCACTGTCAGGATTGTGATGTCGGGCTTTGTGTGGACAGATGTTTTGAAGCCTATCACACACAACTTAATTTCTAAGGTAATTCTGCATGATTAATTAAAAGTAGAGTATTTAATAGAAAAGTTATGTTTTATACAGAGCACAGTGTTTGTTTCCAGTTTTAAATTCTGTATTTCTAAAATTTTACGCCGTATTTCAAAAAATAATTGTGATCTTCAGACGAAAACATTGAAATTCTCTTTGACTTTATCCGACTGTATATTTTACAGTTATGGATGTAAATAAAAGAATTAAGAATTAAGAAATATCGCCGTGCTGTTTATAAAATCTAAAACTACTTTCTTTTCTGAATATGTTGATAATTTTTGCTTTGAAATTCCAATTTTCTTTGCTTTCACAGCAAATTTATAAAAGTTGTGCATTTCTGGTAAGAAAATTTAAATATCCTCCATCCTCCCAGTCAGGTTTACTTTAAATGCCATTCGTCACCTCAGGGTTAAAACAGTTGTATTCATAAGAATGAAAATGAATACTAAGTAACCAATCAATGCAACAGGGTGCTTAAATATAACATTAAGTAAAAGCATCCTTTACCTTCTGCTTTGCAGATGTTCTAGACTTTGGGCTAACTTCAAAGCTCCTAATCTTGGGTTCATGTAGTGAACTCAAACCCTGTAATGGACATAATACAGGTGTGTATCAGAGAAGTCACTAAAGAAATACACAACTTATCAACATGTAACACACAATGTTCAAATGCTATTATGAACATTTCCTGTATTTTTCTTCCATGTGTAGTGTGTTGTTGTATGTATCAAACCTGGAGATTATGATTCATAAAAAGAGGATATCAGCACATAAAGAATAATAAGACTGAGTGAAGTATGGCATGCATGTATAAAATTCCTAGCTCCTGTCACTCTAGTATGAAAGCCCTCACACATACATACAATTCTGTATATTATTTCTTACTGAAAACCGTCACAACACAACATCAATAACACTTGTAAGCAGCTCTAGAAGATAGCTTTGCTACATGTTTCAGCCTTCTATAAGGCCATCATCAGGCAAATACATTAAAACTTTCGTTATTGAATTGCATGTTAAATAAATGAATGAATGTATAAGGGGTGGGTCTTTTTGGCCCTTGCACCATGACCACAGTGATCTATTGTGCCTATGTTAAATATAAGTCACAGTGCTAAACTTCCAAGTATATACAATGGTATATAATGACGTGAGTGAATATAAATATAAATTAAAATAAAAGTTAAAATCTTAATTGATCAATTACATAGTCAAAAGTATAGTTAAAAATTGTATATGCGATGGTACTTGGAAGTTGGTAGTTGCAATCGTAATACATATAATACTTACACGGACATATTATTTACACAATAGCTCATATGGTGTTTCGAGGCCCATTGTTATGTTGTATGTTATTGCTTAATATTTGATACTATTTGACAGGTGACTCCATTCTGTAAATGTCTGATTTGATGGAGGGATGGATTACAGCTCAATAACTGATGCAAGTCTAAAGTTTTTCCTCTACACTAGCCTGTTCAGTATAGTGTATCTTGGAGAACACACAGTAATATGAATGACTATTGAAATAATAATAAAAGAATATTATTGGGAAAGACATCTGCAGACTTTATTCCCACCTGCAAACTATGAGAGTCGAAAGCACAGACTATGACACTGATCATCCTACCATATGAACAAACTCCATTCCAGTACTACCTTGATGCGTGGATCCAAGCGGTCGATAGGTGGCAGTGTGACATATCTGGACCAGCTTGGTGGGGAAGCAGGTGCTGACACCTGTCTCGAGGTTGTAGTCACTTTTGCAGCCACTGTCTGCTGTTCCTCCAGAGGCCTCAGAAACGTCTCACGACCTGATGTAATGCTACTCAACCTCCTGTTTAACATAGGCCATGTCCTTCTATCAGCAGCGCTGTGATAACCTCGAGACTCCAGTGTTGGTGTGGGGCCCAACACATGGTTTGCAGAGTGTAAACTCAAAGGTTTGGGTAAACTGACAATTTGGGACTCCCTGGGCTGTTTTACAGGGTCCACAGAAACTCCTGTTCTGGCTAACTGAGACATAACTGACTCATCACATTCAAGGCCTAGTTCAAGCATTGGAGAAACCAATGCCCTTCTTGCAGAACACCGTACGGATTTGGCAGACACACTCAGCATGCAATTAAGTTCAGAATCACAAATATCTGAGACAGGAATAAATGGTATATCAGCAGCTGCAAGTGTTGGAGTATTCATTCTTCTCTGTCCCTGCAACGATGCAGCATTACTGGGTCTTTGCTGCGATATATTTTCAGAGTAAAGGTGCAACAGTGGTTCCAAACTTCGTGAAACTTCTGACCACACATGAGAAAACAGCTGCTCCATAACACAGTCCTTCACTTTCTGCCGCAAGCTCTCTGTAGATATATCCTTAGTATAGCACATCACAGCGCTACCTTCAGCAGTGTTTGGTCTAGAATTATCATTCCTATTGCACCCATCATTCGGTTCCAGGTTCTCCTGGTATGATCCATGGCTTGCTATTACTTCCTCTTCTTCACTATCTCCATTATCCTCCAGCACAACACAAACTGCTTCATCTGATGTCACTTTGTCATCAACATGTATCTTCTTGTAGGGTGTCTGCAGCTGCAATGAACTGAAATCTATTCCAGCACCCCTCACCCTGAGACAGAAATGATAAAATAACATTAAGATTGAACTTCAATGTTCACATCCTCTTGTGTATTAATGTAATTAAAATTGCCTTTATATCCATCAACACAACAAATAACATGTATAATATATAACAACAAAATAATAGTTATTTATCATTGTAGTAACACAACTAGTTTCAGTTGCTTACATCACATTCAGGTGATCACAGTTTACATAAAAATTTAAAATCATAAAAATGGTATTGCTATTAAAATTCATTTGGAATTAGATACAATTTTATGTCACTATTAACATGACATTGACTGTTAATATTATATGTAATTAAAATCACATATTTAAAAGTTAAGTGTTTTGTTATATCGCAATTTATATATCACCAAGGTATGCACTTGTGGGTACATTACTTAGCTCAGTTGTTGTTCATATATTGTTAGGAAGGGTCTTGGTGTGCAATACTGTTGATACCAGTGGGTAGAGCAATGGGTTTTAAGTGATAATGTATTCCATTGTTTTATCTTGATGTTTCTGGTATTCCCTTCGTTTTGTTCGTCTGGATATAACGATTTCACGCAGCATGTAGTAGGTAGTTGGGTAAGATGTATTACAGGTATTTTGGTGATTACATATTACTAGTTTACTTTGTATATATATTATTAGTTGTGTTTCTCTTATTGGATGGTCCTTGCAATATTAAATTGTGGCATGTAGACCTGTTGCTAGGCAATGACCATAAAATAAATGACTATACAACAACTGTTGCTAGGTAACAATTCTGCAAACAGACATGAATGCAATAACTGCATTGAAACAGAGGAGCCATGTTTTCTAAGCAGTCTGACATGTGACACGTGTTTTCTGTGTGGTCTTCGCCATGCAACAATAGAAGGGCTGTGCTTTCTGTGCATGGTCTGTGCCAAGGGGATACAAGAGAATACAGGAGAGGGAATTGACTTGACTTGAGTTCCAAAGTTCCAGGGGAACAACAGTATGGCCAGAAGAAGAATTAAAAGACTTAGTGTGTGATTTTACATGTGATGTAGTACATCAATATCGGCAGCGTGTAATTTAGTGAGACCTATGTTATAAATCCATTGCCAGGAAATGGATAGTGAAGACTAGCGGGAACAGACTAAGAAGATTAGTGTGCAATTAATGTAATTGTGTAAATCAGCAACAGTGTAATAATTATTTGAAGTTATGACCTGTAGGTGGTTAATAAATCCAATTACCAATCCAAACCCCAACATTAGTCACTGATACACATGACATACCTATAGTGGGGGAATTTACTTCTCCAATCAAAGCACTCTTCTGCAACTTCCTTCTTCAGTTTATTCAAAGATTCTTCTCCATAAAAACATCTCTCCAACTCATCAATCAGTTCTTGTACCGTTCTTGTTGTTTCAACTTCAACATCCTATGAGAAAAAAATTAGTACTGTTCACATAGCTGCAATTCCATCTGAGGTTTTATAAAAACCTTGTCTGGTCTCATACAGTCCACAAATACCATTCTGAACTACATTTTTTTTTACAGTTCTTAAAGTAAAATTCAAGTAATATTAGAAGACAAAGAAAACAGTTGTCACATATATAAAACAAAGATTTTCATACGTACATCAGACCATGACATGAAGCTGGTAACACTGTTGCCAAACCCAGATGACTCAGTGCCATCTGAAAATTGCCAGGATCTTCCTTGGTCACCATCATCAGCAGAGTCAAACCTCAAAAATGTAGAGAGATTATTAGCAAGTTTTTTCATGAGGCTGTCTAATTAAAACTCCAAAAAGCAGCAATTTCAAAATTTCATGGTGCACATCCCACTTTCCCTCAGAGAACAATGTACAGCCCATTTTCCTTATATGAAAGGGCTAAGGGAAATTATAAAAATTCTAAATGTTATCAAAACATTTCATAGTGGAATTGATTTAATTTCCATCAGGAACATCATACCCCCCGCAGAAACCACTGGATGATCTCTGATAATTAGAAGCACTATGTCTTCCATTGCCGGTCACAGTAGCCGAGCGGTCTAAGGCATACACTGTTTTCGCTCGCTCGGAAGCCGGGATTATGGGTTCGAATCCCACTCAGGGCATGGATGTTTAGTTTGTGTGTGTGCGTTTTTCTATGTTTGTGTACAGGTAGAGGCCTTGCGACGAGCTGATCACCCGCCCAAGGAGTCCTGCCGTATGTGTAAGATCTAGAAAAAATGAAGTGAAAGGGGGAGTTTCATGGAGGTAGGCCTAGGCCCAAATGAGGGTTGTAGCGCCAATGAAAAAAAAAAATGTCTTCCATTATGAGATAACAAAAGAAAACAGCAAAAGCCACAATAATGTGGTGTATAGACCCACTGCTAAGTGATGACTCTGTAAACAGCGGCTGTTGCTATTGTTTTGTATGTGGTCTGTGTCAAGAAGTTATGACCGGGAGGTCTGGAACATAGTCAGTGGAAAGTGAGTTCAGTAAGGGAATCTGTGAAGAGGGAACTTGAGCCAGAGGCAGAGGAACAGCCACTGTTGGAGCCATTACCAGGAACACTACACTGTGTGCTCTAGTGCAGTGTTTCTCAACTGCCAGGCCACAGCCCAGTACCAGGTGCTGGCATCAATTATACCAGACCCTCATCTTATAGAAAAAAGAATTTACCGGACCACGGTCTGACAAAGGTTGAGAACCACTGCTCTAGTGAACTGTAAAGTGTGGAGATTAACGATGGCACTGTAACTGCTTGTAGTTCCAAGTTGTGTGTATAAGTGGTCAATAAATCTATTCACCAACTCAAACCTCATCTATAGTCACACATACTATGTGACAACTGGTGTCAGAAGTGGTCACATTGGACACTGCACTGGTTCTTGATTGTTATACCACCACACTAGAGAAATGGAACAAATCACAGAACAGATGATGGAACACCTCCTGGCCAAGGTAGCTGCCATGCAGGAAATGGCGATCTCTCACCATGAAAAAATGGACACCTCTCTAAGGGTAATGACAGCTGGCCAATAACTCCTAAAAGAATAAATGCTGACCAAGTTAGATGCCCATCATGAAAGGACAATGGCAAGGATTTACTACCAGCTACAGAAAATGGAAACCTGTCTAGGAAAGACAGAGGCCAGAGATTTGGAGGCAAATCCAGAAGAAATAAGAGTCCTAGTTGGAGCTTCAGGAAGTCTCTATGGAACAGGTAACAGTGAAAACTGTTTGAGCACTAAAGAAGCAGAATAGGGACCAGCATCTAGCTGCAGGGCACCGCCAAAAGGTGAAGAAATGGACCTAGGGCAATGGTGGGTCCCATTCAGGGTGAAGAGCATTAAAAAGGGAGCAATGAAGAATATAGACATGTTGCTAAGCAATGACTGTAAACAGCAGCTGCTGCTAGGTAATGCCCACAACATACACACATGCAACAATACACTGTGTTTTCTATATGGTCCATTGTTGGAGCCGTTACCAGGAAACGTCCAGTAACAGACAGAGAACACTAGACTATGTGTTCTAGTGAACTGTAAAGTGTGGAAATAGTGATAGTATTACATATATTTGTAGTTATGACCTGTAAAAGGTCAATAAATCTATTCACCAATTCAACCTCATCTATAGTCACACACACTATGTGACAAAAATTACGCTAAAATTAAAAAGTTATTTATATGATCAACATGTTACAGGCTTGGAAACTGTAGAAATCTAAAGAAGCACCAAAATTATAAATGGACAAATAAGAACAAGTGTTACAAATAAGATATCGTTTGATGGGAAAAGTGAGAGGTCTCATAATGAGAAGGATGTATTGGGATAAAGTTTAAGGTTTGGAAATGTGGGCAGACTGCCTCCAGTGGAAGCTTTTATGCAATAGTCAACATAAGTAACATAAACACAACCTAAAAATAACGTTTTTCAAGTTGACTATTTAATGACATTGTCAGTACCAAGACCATATAGTGAAGACAGGATGATAATT